TGGCAGTTTTTTCTTTTATATCAGCTTTGCCTCTTACACAGCAAAAGGTATCAATATCCAACATTTCAGTTAAAAGCAGACTAACTACTGTTTCCTAACAAGGTGGTAATCTGTTGCAGTTTGCTTTGTTGTTTTTTTGGTAAATGTGTTCAGCATGAACAAACTGCCCAGAATCACTTTTCTTTGGGTGACATTTTGGGCAGGAGAAAAACTGCGTGACTGGGTGAATGACACAGTTCACTACAAGTGGCCACCTTAACACCTGAGGTTCTTAAATGACTTCGCATTTCCCTTTGAGTCACATTATCTGTCACAGAGCAGTAGCATTCTGGGGGACTCGAGCCAGTTGGGAGAACCGGAGTATGATTTTTACAAAACAAATGTGTGTACAAATTATTGCTCACTTCTCTCTTCTCTATAAATAGAGATACTAATAGATCCATTCTGTGAGATATGGGAAGGGGTTATGTATTATAGAATAGTCATCTTGTCACGGAAAGGGAGAATGAAGAAACCTGGTTGGATTCAGTTCAGTGTTGTCTATCATCTCCTAATTATATTGTTTGAAGGAATAAGCCAGTGTGTGGACGAGTGCATGCACGTGTGTGTGTGTGTGTGTGTATTTGAGCAAGAGCGAGAGCTAGAGCGAGAGAACAATGGTTCCTCAGACTTCATTTCCTGTTGCCTCATATCGGGTATATATCCTTTGTATTTTCCTCCTGTGAACCAGAGGCAGTTGACTATACAGTAAGAGCTTCTTAGACTAATAGTCACATGGCTCTTCAATCCAGTGCCCTTCAAACATCTGCCCTACATATACCTCAAGAGGATGACGAGAACATGGTTTCCTCTCAAGGTTTTTTTGAAGATTATTGTTTTATGTGTATGTGCAAGTACCTGCATGTGTGTCTGTACACCATGAGTGTTCCTGATGCCTGAGGACACCAGAAGAGGGCGTTGGACCACCTGGAATTGAAGTTACAGGCGGTTCTGAGCCACCTGTTGAGGGTATTGGGAACCAAACCTGGATTCTTGGCAAGAACAGCAACATGCTCCTAACTGCTGAGCCACCTCTCCTGCCCATCCCTAAAGGTTTTGTTCTTCAGAGTCTAAATAATTTTATTCCTATTAGCTGAAAGATAGTCAATATTTTTTAAAGAAAGAGAAGGAAGAAAAGGAGGGAGAGGGAGGGGGGGACGGGCAAAAGTATATCCAACTGTCCTTTGCTTCAGTTCTCTTTGGAATTCTTTTGTAACTTAGGAACCAAGCAACTTCTTGGGAGGTTTATTAAAAAGGTTTAAAATTCACAACGTAAATCACTTCCCTTGTAAATCATAGCACACCACACATTACCATGGTTCTGGAATTTCTGCTCACCACAGCTGCCGTCTCTGCACCGGTTACAAATGCATTACGCTGTTAGTTGTGATAATCCCAGCACAAACTATTTTAGGTATAATAAATATTTTTACATCTTCACCTGACTCACATTACAGTGATGACTTTTCTTTTTGGAAAAGGGCCACTCTTTCTCCCCAGTGTTTTCAACGAGTGTATGTACTAAAGATTGTCCTGCTGGGAAACTGCCCCACTGACCTACCACCAACCCACATATTTGAAGTAACAGGAAGACACCTTAGAAGGACCACTGAGTGGCAGCATGCGTGAGCCTGAAGATTTGACACTGGGCAGTCTGCAGGGCATATTTTCCAGCATATCTTTATTATTAGTAAATATTACAAAGCATGCTTGATTGCTGTCTTTATTGCATGCTCCTATGTGTGTCTAATCCGGTGGCAGCAGACAGCCAGGCTGTTTTCACAAATAAAGTTTTATTAGAACATAGACATTCCTGTTTCTCTGCACGTTGGCTGTGTCTTTATTTGTACTACCAGGGCAGAGCTGAGCGACTGCAGCACAGGCCATTGTGGCCCGCAGAGGGAAAGATGGCTCAGCGGGTAAAGGTGTTTGCCACCAAGACTAATGACCTAAGTTCAGTGCAGGATCCTCATAGTGGAAGGAAAGAACTGAAACCTTCAAGTTGTCCTCTGGCTGCCACACTCAGGCTATAGCACATGTACACACACACACACACACACACACACACACACACACACACTCAAATTGTCTTCTGGCTGCCCCACTCAGGCTATAGCACATGTACACACACACACACACACACACACACACACACACACACAATAAACGAATAAATATATATATAAATTTTTTAAAAAGTTAGAAGAAATGTGCTGTTTCTTGTGTTATTCTGTAAAACAATAGAAAACCGTTATTACTTGTTAAACAGTTTCTCCAAATAATTGGATCCCCCTGAAACATGTGCTTCCCCACCAGGACACTTGGGACAGTGGTAATTATCAATCCACAGGTCATCCTCACACTGTAAGATATCAGTTGCTCTTCACAGATTGACCATGACCTTCAGGAATGCTTTGGGCTTCCTGAGACACAATTCTGCTTTTCTCTGTTCTTGTATCTTGAGATTCTCTCAAAATGAATTGTAAAACCTGTACTTGAACTATATAGCAACTTCCTCTGAGATAAACCCCTCCGTTTTGAAGGGAAGCTAGGTAAACAACAGGATGCTTTGAGGGCAAGTGAGACAGTAGGTTATGCAGGGAAGTTTGTTAATCTCAGGAAGTGTATAGTACAATTGCTTCAGGAAGTCCCTGAAACTGACCAGGCTCATGAGGCCCCTCTTTCCCCAAGCATATATAAGCCACAAGGACTGCCTTGAGACACTCTCAGACAAGCTGAGCTGCTTGGAAGAGAAAGGCTCAGACCTACTGAGCTGCCTGGAAGGGACGCTCTCTAACCTGTTGAGCTGCCTGTAGGTGGTGCAGTGTGCTCTGGACTAACTGCTTTCGTGAGCTGTCACCCCTGCTAAAGGTGTGCTTTGGTGATGCAGCTGTCTTTGAGTTATTATGCTCCTTTAAGTAACCTCAATGAACTCATTGGTTCACCAAGTTGGATTTGGATCCTGTCCTTCCTTTGGTCTAATTGGTTCCCTATCTGGTGTGAGTAGACGGTTGTTAGACCGTTGTTCATATCTTCCCCGGGAACGACACCTGACCAAAGTGGTCTTTTATGTTTTCAATTTGTGTATCTGTATCACTGCCTCATGATTCTTTTTCCTTTGGCATTAGATTCATTCCACACCACAAGGAGGTTAGTATCTGGCATATATAAAGAACTCAGAAAACTACTTACCAAAAGAAAACCCAGTGAAGAAGTGGGATAATGAAATAGACAGTTCTCCAAAAATGAAGTATAAATGGTTTAACCACAGAAAATGTTCAACATCCTTAGCGACCAGGACAAGACAAATAAACACTGCACTGAGATCCCATCTCACCCCAGTCACGATGATAATCAGAAAGAAAGCCAATAGCACCAAATGCTATCAAGTATGAGGGAGGGTGTGAATGCAGACTGGTGAAGCCACTATGCGTATAAATAGTTGCCTCAGAAAAGCTAATGTGGAAGTACTGTATGCCCCAGTGGCGAAACAACACTGGAAGCTGGTGGATAGACCGTGAAAGAGTGTTGAATGGTGGGTCGGATGTGCTGATGGATGAATGGGCGGCAACTATACCACCCTGGGTATATGCCCAAAGAGCTCCAAGTCAGTGCATCACAGAAATACAGAGCTACATTCACATTTGCTGTAGCATGGCTCACAAAAGCCAAGCCAAGGAATCAGCCCAGATGTCCCACAGTAGATGAACTGGCAAGGGAAATGTGGCCCATAGACAGCACAGAGTGCGTCGAACAGTGCCTCAATAATGAAGAGCTAAGCTCTGGCCCATAAGAAGACTGGATGGATGATTACTCTATGCTCAACGAAAGGTCCCAGGGAAACCATCATGACTCCGGACCTTGTGTCCCTTCAGCTCCTCCGGGTGCAGATTGCTGTGTCTTTGTCCTTGTGCACTTCACTTCTGGGTGCAGATCCTTGGCTCCGGTTCCAGATATGAGATTTCCAGCAGAATGGAAGCATCATGAAGGGGTCTAGTCTAAAGGTCTGGCTTTTTGACCCAGAAAGAAAACCAGTAACAGATTCCCTGAGACACTGAACAGAGTGACCAGACCCTGCCAGTGCTGATCAATGCAGGGCTGCAGTGGTGGGACAGCACTGAAAATTAGTGGATAGTCAGTAAAAGTGTGTTGAGTGGTGGGGTGAATGTGCCAATGAACGAATGGGTGATTGTAGACAAACTCTTTCAGATATAGTTTAATATAGACAACAGAGGATGGCATGGGAGGGGCTTTTGGTCGTACAACTGTGAGGAGTGACTACACTTCAACTTTCTTATTCTCTGTGTGTATAAGTTTGTGTGTGTCTCTGTTTGTGTGTGTGTGCACGTGCATGCATGTGGAAGCCCGAAGACAACATTTGTTGTACCCCAAGTGCCACCTACCTTTATTTTAGACAAGGTCTCTCACTAGCCAGGTAGGCTAGGCTTCCTGGCCAGCAAATCCCAGGGATCTGCCTCTGCCTCCCTAGCACCGGGTTTACAAGCATACGTACCACTATATCTGACTGTTTAAAATGTGGATTCTAGAGATTTGACTGCTTATAAAGCAAACACTTACTGAGCTATCTCCCAAACTCTTTGACATTTGGGGTTGATCATCGCAGCACCCCAGTGAAAATCTGAGCTCTGTCAGGAAGGACCAAATGGAAGAATGCTGGCATGGAAAACAGCAGCCATCCAAGCTCTCAACATTTGCACTACAGTTATGTGTGACCAAAATAATCTTTTTATCTTAGATCAGCTTGACTTTATTTTCTTTCCTTTGCCGAAAGGATCTGGCTGAGAATGAAGATGAGCCATTCCCCAGCCTTCCCACTTAGTAACCCAAATCTACTTCCTGTCTTCATTTTTCTTTGACATATTTCATATTCCACTATAGTTTGTGATTTATTTTGCACATTGTGATACTCATTGAAAAGAATGCTCTATGAGGGCAAAGGGTGGAGTCTTGCTTTTACTCCCAGGACCTGACCATAATACATGCTCAGTAAAACAAAGAGTTTTGAATGAATGAGAAAGTAGGTGGATACACAAATAAATACGTCCATGTCCATGTAGAGGCAGAACGGCCCTCGGAGGTGAGCTGGTCTCTTCTCCAGAGGTAGTGATGGACTCTGGGGGAAATCCAACATGGGCTCTATCCTGCCATCTGGCATCATCGTATTCCACCGGGACTCGTAGTCTCCTGCCAGTCAACCTGGGCCTCTGACCACAGCCCACTTGATTTTCTCGGTTACACTGTTTTCTTCAAATCTTTCCATGGTTATAATTCTTGAACACATACTGCGTGAGTATTTGGATTCCCGTTCTTCACATTTAAAGCTGAATTAGAAAAGGCAAAGGTCGTTTACTAGATTCCTCTTCCCTCTAAGGAATACTGGGCTCTATCCTGACTGTCCCGGAACCCTTTCCCTTTCTCTTCTTTCACTAGGTGCATTTAGAAACCTCTCTCCAAATTGGGCCAAAGTATGTTTCAAATCTTATTTTCAAAAATTGCAAAGCATGTTCCACCTTAGAACATGACTAGTTGCCAATGGTTTTCACGGGTAACATTCAATGGAGGCCTCCCCAGAGCCCTTGGACGTGCAAATGGGCTTGTGTGTTAAGAGTCCTCCCTAGTTGGAAACCAAAGACACCCTGTGCCTGTCAGGTGTAGATGACATCTGGGTGTGGCTTGCTCGGCTGAACTCCATCTCGGAGCTCCTAGTGTATCCCCAATCTGGGGGGGGACCCCAGCCTCCCCATCTCCTGTCCTGCAGTAGGACTGATTGGTCATGGTATAGATGACTCAAGAACTTTGTGCTTTTGCCAAAACTGTCCCTGAAATTGTCCCATTAAGTTATTTCTAAATATATTCATTTTGTTTTGGGTGTGTGTATGGGTACGTGTGCACCTGTGTGAGCCAGAGATGGATGTGATGTATCTTTCTCAGTTGTTCTCTATCTTATTTTTCAGACAGACTCACTCACTCTACCTGAACCTACAGATTTGGTAAACCCCAGGGATCCCCCTGCCTCAACTTTTCCAGTGCTGGGCTGACAGGCGCACGCTGCCATGCCTGGCTCTTTACCTGGGTGCTGGGGATGGAATTCAAGTCTTCGAGCTTGCAAGGTGAGCACTTTACCCACTGAGTCCTCTCCCCAGCTCTTAAATATCTTCAAATTTTTACTTTGGAATACTCTCCTCTCCACTTCCTCACCTTTAACAAGTGGCTGAAATCAGTGCCTCTCAAATAAGATCTTAGATTAGCAACAGCAGCAACTGGGCGCTTGTTAATGTGAAAATCTTGGGGCCCCAGCCTGGATCTCTGGAATCAGAGATGGAGAGCAGACCCGGCAATCTGTGTTCCAACACAACATCAGGATGATTCTGATGTATGTGCAAGTCTGAGATGCTCTCCCTAGCAAATGAGACTCACCATGCTTGGCAAACGCAGGCCATGGTATATTTTAAGAATTAGATTCAACACAGTCCAGGCCTGTCTTCCCACCTGGTCTAGAGGCTGAAACAGAGAAGCCTAAACTCAAGGCTAGCCTGAGCTATAGAGTGAGTTCAAGACCAGCCTGGGCAACTTAAAGAGACTCTGCATCAAAATTAAAATGAACACTATAGCAGAAGGTGGAGGGATCTCAGTAGTAGGACACTTGTCTAGCATGTGCGGGGCCCCAGTTCAACCCCTAGAACAAAAAATATATTTAATAGATTTTGCCTGTGGGTCATTTGGAACAGTGTTTATTTCTTCATATATGTTCGCTACCTTATAATGGCTGCAGTTATTACTGTTGCTGGATTTCTTTTCTAAATGGACTGTAAATCCATTTATGAGTTGGCATGTCTACCTGTGAGATAGCAGAGTAGACATTTTAAGGTATAATAATATAATGATAGCTCATTTATGAATTTTTCCCTGTGTGTAGTACTTAGCTAAGCACTTCACACACATTGCATTCCACACTCAGGTAAAAAAGCCAGAAGAGAATAGCGTGTGCTTGTTAGAGAGCTAGAGTGACTTCCAGGGGATGACACAGGCAGGAAGGGAAAGGCAGGCACAGAAGTCAGGGTGCGCATCTGGAGCCCAGGTTAGTAAGCACCCTGTCACACGGCCATTCCAGCGTGGTTTGCAAAAGGCATCACTGAGTGGCCATTCTTCCACCCTCAGTGCTACTTTGAATATCTCATTGAAAGCTTCGGGACGTAGGTCGGTAGTAAACCGCTTGTCTAGCACCCATGAGGCCCTGGGTTCAGTCCCCAATGCCACCATAAAAATAGTTTTTAAAAAACTCAATAAAATATTCATATAATATACATATCAGCATAATAGCTATTTCTTAATTCTGGAAGGAGGTTCTAGATGAAATATTTCCTTAAAATAATTTTTGTTTTCTGAGAAACCAGTAGCTAAGGGGTCCCTCTCGTTGCATTCCTTAAAATTTCCCATAACTCTTAATTTCTACCAAGTTCCTCCTGGTTGTACAGGTGAGGATGGGGGAGTGATTTATTGAGAAGTAATAAATACAAACCAGCACCTGGAGTCACCCTGTTTCTTCTGGCTGTACTTTGGGTCACAGATCACCTGAGTCAAACATTCAAGTGTCTATTTGCCAAGAGAGTCAGCTGCAACCAGGGTCATCTTCACCTACAGAAAGTAAATGTTAGGCACGGATTAAAAGGAGGAAATGTGGAAATGGGCCTGTAATTACTCATAAACACATGTCACCAGGTATGCTAACACCAGTTTTGTGGCCCACAATGAACACCACACTTGTACCATTTTTCCATTACAGAGAGAGAGAGAGAGAGAGAGAGAGAGAGAGAGAGAGAGATTTGGATGCTTAAAACACCAATGTCATCCTATAAAACCATTATTTAAAATGGGTAAAATCATAGGCATATTAAATTTTTTGCAGAGGGTTGCTAAATTCGTGAAGTGAACATATTTAAAAGCTCACCCAAATGATGCTTCAGAGTAAAAATACCTGTTTATTCAGCAGGAAGTGTTCATTTTGATCCGAGAGAATTGAGAGAAGACAGCAACACTGTCTTTCCTTTGAGAATTTCTGCCTATACCTCAGAAGGAAGGCCAGAGACGTTGTGAGCTGTCTAGTTTACCCTAAAACTTCCCGTGTCCCCACACCTAACGCCAGAACCCTAAGCAGACAGTTTGGGCTTCTGCCTTTTTATTTATTTTATTTTTTCCTTTCCCTAGCTCCACCCTAGCTATCTCTTGAAAGACCTTCTGTTCTGTCAGCCATAATGACATCTGCTGGCCGACACAGGAAGTCATAAATCTGTAAGTTCCCTCTCAACCAAACCTTGTTAACGCTGCCATTTATCACAGGGGCTGGGTGCCATCTCTGGAGGGCCTGCTGCAGAGTCCATTTTCTTCCATACTGTTTTCCCAAGAGAGCGACCATTTTCAAAGCAGCCACTCTTTCATGTCGAGTTTGCAGACCTGCACGTCAGGCAGACGCAAACCCCATCCTCAAGGCGCAAGTCTTGGAAGGAAGCCATGAGAGCACGCAACAATAGGCCCAGCCTGATGAGCGGGGGCCGAAGCGAGGCAGTTCTGCCTAAACTCGGTCCTTCCTGGTTTTCAATAGGCCCTGGGCTGCTGCTGAGACAGGACTCAGACCCTGGGCCAACTCTGCTTCGGTGAGGCTGTTAGCGAGACAGGCAACAGGGGGAGTTGAAAGAGGGCTGTTTGAACTCACTTACTTCTGTGCTGAACTAACTAATGCTGGACTGGTGCTGCTCGGGTTGTGATTCTTAGTTCATTGTGTCCACAGCATCGATTCAAAACCTTCACCTAGGAAGGTAGATCCTTGCTTTTGTTAGTCAATGTAGGGTGGGTCCCTGGTTCAGCCAGCATCCCCTATCAGAGTTTGTTAGAAATGCAGCCATTCAGGCAGGCTGTCCTATTTAGTCTAAAGTCACATTATCTTGTATATTATTATTATTATTATTATTATTATTATTATTATTATTATCTTATGCTATACTGAGGATTGAACCTAGGCCTCTCCCATGCTAGGCAAGTGATTATCACCGAGTCACATCTCTAGCCCTTTCTCACCTTTTTATTTTAAGACAGGGTCTCACTAACTTGCCCAGGCTGGTCTTAAACTCACTGCGTAATCCAGAGCTTTCAAACCCTCTGCCTCAGCTTTCCAAGTAGCTTGGATTGAAAACCTGAGCCACTGGGCCTGGCTTGAAAGCTACACCCAGCCCCAGAGCCTGGAATTCTGCACTGGGCATCCTCCCTTCACCTTCCTGGCATGCGGGCAGGTCATTCTTTCTGCAGGGTTCTGCGGCATATAGCTTTGGCCCTGACCCACTAGATACCAGCACCATCTACTGTGAGATGTGAACAGTCTCTGGGTGTCCTCAAGAACCCCACTGGTGCAAAATCACCAGGTGGGCCCCCCAGACACTCAAAGCGCAGTCTCAGGCAGATCAGTTAGGATCTGATTAGAAATCCACATTCTCCAACCACAACCCAGATCTTCAAAACCAGGAGATCCAGAGTTGCTGCCCAGGACTGCAGCTAATGCTCAAAAAGAAAAGAAGGCTCACCAAAGTCACCTGGAGCCTCAATATTATCACCAAATTATCACATGCAAAGTTAAGAGCCACATGCTGCTTCTGTTTGTTTGCTTGTTTATTTATTTTAGACAAGATCTCATGGAGCCCAGGCTGGCTTTGAACTGCATATGTAGTAGAGGATGACCTTGAACTTCTGAGTTCCTACATCCAAGGCCTGAGTGCTGGAACTGCAAGCCTACACCAACACACCTGGTTTGCGTGGTGCTGGGGATCAAAGGCGGGGCCTATTGAACACTAGGCAAGCATTCTACCGCTGAACCACAACCCCAGTCCTATGAATTCAGGCTTCTGCATCTGCTGTCGCTATGACCTTTGGTTTGTCACTTACCCTTTCTATGACTCGGTTTCCTCTGCTGTAAAATGGACACCACAGAATCACAATACCTCCTCAGATTATGTAAGGCTGATTTTGCTTTTATGCCAAGTGCTGAAAACAATACTTGTCATCAAGTGCTTTGTAAATGACACTCGTGACTGACTGCTACCATCACCATGATAACATTCTTATCACTGGCCCATTTTCATCCTGCCCCAGGTTGTCAGGCTCCCCAAGGACCAGGCAGGTTCCTGTTTCCTGCTGTGTCCTCAGCAGGAAGCCCAGCCTGATGGACCCTGGGGTATAATGTAGATACAATGTGGATGGAGAGAAGAGGAGGCCCACAGAAGCACCCCTCCCTAGGTGGCTTGAACTGGTTATCTGTTACCTATGGCCCTTCCATGTGAGCCTCCAGCTTCTGGGGTTTAATTCTATAAGTTAAGGATGTAGAGAACGGGGGTGAAGTGAGTTTACCCCTCATGATGCAGGCTGGACCTCATGCAGATGTGGAAGGTACTCTATAAACAAGGAACAGTCAACAGGTGCTCATAGGCTGAGGCTAAAGTTCAGTAGTAGAATGGTTGCCTAGCATACAAGAAGCCCTGAAAGCAAAAAACAAACAACAAACAAACAAACCCAACAAATGCACAGATGTGTATAAATCAATGAACAAGCTAAGTACATGGAAATGCTTCTCAGGCAGTCTGATAAGTAACGTGTATTTGCTCATAGGATCCTCTCTAAGCCCCCAACAGGCCCGTGGTATAACGGTGTCTATTTTAGAGATGAGAGAGTCTACCCCTAAAGTTAAAGAAAATGTGTAAGGGCATCAGCTTTATCTATCTATCATCTATCTATCTATCTATCTATCTATCTATCTATCTATCTACTATCTATTATCTATCTATCTATCTATCTATCTATCTATCTATCTATCTATCTATCTATCTATCTATCTATCTATCTATCTATCTATCTATCTATCTATCTATCTATCTATCTATCTATCTATCTATCTATCTATCTATCTATCTATCTATCTATCTATCTATCTATCATCTATTTATTTAGGTTTTTTTTTGAGACAGGGTCTCCCTGTAACCCCAGCTGGCCTGGAACTCACTTTGTAGACCAGGCCAGCCTTGAACTCACAAAGATCCAAGTGCCTCTGCCTCCCGAGTGCTGGGATTGCTGCCACGCCCGACTGATCTTAGTAAATAAGTATGTTTAGATCTGGTCTCCCTGATTCCAAACATGTGCCTCCTTTTCTTCCCCTGATGCCCACCTGCTGTGTACACATGATCCTGTGCCCTGGGATGCCGGAGGAAATACTAATTTTGAATGTTTCACTCCATCTTGTGCTTAAGAACTTTCTCATAAGTGTCAGCATGCACACCTTATGCCTTATTCTGTTCAAAAGCTGTGTTATGGAAGTGATGAGAATTCTGTTCCACAGCCCCTTCCCCACCCCAGGTGCCAGTACAGGGAAGAGGAAAGAGACCTCTGTCTCCAGGTATACATGCATGTGGGCAGAGAAGATGCCAACCACACATGAGAACAAAAAGACTTAGAAGCAAGAGCTAAACATTTTCTTATAAATGATGGCCTTGAACAAGAGTGCAGCCAGCAAAGACATGGCTGAGGTTTGGACCACACTGCTGTATTGCACAGGTGTTGGCTGGAGGCCCACTGTGTGCCTGCAGAAGGCTGGCGGGTGGGGCTGCTGGCAGCTTCTTGAGTGTCACAGGCTGGGGAGTCTGTTCCAGGCAGTGTCGTTTCCTTAACACCAGTGGAACTGCCACAGACCAGCATCCATGGGCCTTGAGCCTATAAGGTAGGCCAGGAGGAGCCCTCGTCTTACAGCCGACCAACTGGGTGGATGAGCACTCTAGATGAACAAACTTGAGAAGGGACTCCAGGAAAGGTATGGGCTGCACAGTCTCATTTTCTCTGGCTGTTCTCAGTAACCCTGATCGCAGTCTCCCCTACATCTGCCCTTCCTTATTTGGGCATCCTTTCCTTGACTATACTTTTCAATAGTCTCCCAAACAAACTACTTACAAGTAAGTCTTTAGCTCAAGGCCCACAAGCCTTCCTGTTGGAGAATCAAGAGCAAGATACAAACTTTCTAGAAAGAGGGTTTACAGCAACGTTCCCAACTGTCCATTTATTTTAAACCTGTGGGTTGCTTGGCTTCCCTGGATGGCCCAGCAGTGGTTAAGGAGAAAAGACAAGCTGTATTGTTGAACGAAAACAGCATTCAGAAGGCGTCACTTTGACATAATCCCAGCAAGCGGGGGGTAGAAGCTCATGAAATTTTAAGGACAATGGGACGCTTAATGCCCTAATCATAATAGATAGGACATGCGCTGGATTAGACAGAAAGGTGTTCTCAGAGAGAATTATATCATTCTCTATTTGCTTCTGAAAGTTGAGGGGCACCGTGGGGCACACAGTTCTAATGAGTCCAGGAAGCAGAGCTTGAAGCGCAGTTGACGTGCCATAAAAAATACCTGAGCCCAGGACTTAAAGGCTGCCCGTCATATGGTTCCTGAGCTTTGCTGGTCCTTACAATCACTTAATGTCTCCCTGTGGTTAATGAACTTGAGCAATGAAGTCCTGAGCCAGAAACTTGGTCTAGATTCTTCAGCAACAGCAGCAAAACACTGTCACCTGCTCTAAGTCACTGGCTCTGAGATAGAAATGTGGATTTCATG